TCTCGGCCATAAAATTGCGAAGGTACTATTGGCAATGGGGTTCCAACGGGAGACAGCCTCCCGTGGTTCGCTTTCTTTGTATTCCTCAGTACGTGTCCCACCCTTACGCAGTTGGCACCTATAAATTGTTAAGTGCTAGATTATCTTTGCTGTTATGTTGGAGTTTACCATTTTCCACACCTCTCCTACTGCACTCTCGATCTGCGGGACGGTCATAATCATGAGCTCGGCTATCTACATCTCCGTACTGTTTTTCACTCTCCTCTCAGCATTACTTTGTGCTGACCTTCTCTCTCAGTTGGCACCGAAAACCAATATTCACCCGACCCATAATCCCGGATCTGAGCAGCCACAACGTGTCACTTTTAACACTGGCAGTGACGACGATCCAGAAGCACGACTCGGATGATGTCTGACCGGTGCTGAAAGCCGCGGGCCCCCGATAAGCACATTTATTGAGTTCGAGGAAGGTCTGAATGAGGCCCGCAGAAAAGGTGAAAAAGGCGTTGCGAAATGGCCTGTAGATGTCTGTACATTGATGCGATTTTGAGAACGGATACTAGATGATCTTGAGACTGTTAAACACCTTTAATCGAAACCCCACACGCAAATCAGCGCCATGGAATTGATTTGGTGACCTCAGGCACTGAAAGTCGCCTCCGCTGTCAAGGGCTACGTTTCAGTGGCATTCTGCACGAGGCAGTGGCAGAATAATTCTCCTTCCAGCACTAGAGCAATGTACATAGTCACTGTATCACACAACCCAAACAACCATTAAGTTTAACCGTCCAGCATAACGCTACCCCTCCGACTTCACAGTATACGGGTTCGATGGGTCGGTGCAGAGAACGCATCAACCAAGGTGGCAAGAACCAGCATTCAAGTTGTCCCATACCATTTGCTCATTCAAATTCCTAGTCCAATCTGTCATTCTATGATGTTATCGAGATTTTATGTGTTCTCTAAAAACATTTTTTGATACCAACCGTGCCACGCGACAGGCACAACGCGTAATGTCGATGGGCCTGCTGGCACCTTTCACCCGCCATCAGCTGTGGTCGGGCTCTCAATGTGCCAAAACTCCGACCTGGCAAATTCGGCATGCCCATGGAAAAGCCCATTTCATGCCACAAAAACACTTAAATGACTGCGCAACGCGCCGTCCAGACCTTCGCACTCAACGACTCCAAGTCTGAGCTTCCCCATATCTGTGCGTGGAGTATTAGCTGCCCGATGACCGCGACGCGCTCCTGAGATTTCCGCAAAGTTGACGTTCCTCTAACACTTGTACAAGTCAAAGTGACGCACTACGCTGCCAGTGGCCTTACAGCTCTGGTGGTCATGAATCGGTGCTTGTGTGCCAGAAACGTGACGTGGGGGGTTAATGACCGCTCTGGGTACTGGCGAACGCTCATTCGAAAATTTCGCATCATGCAGAAGCGGGTAATGTCCTCATTCTAAGTGTTATAGGAAGGTGAGTAAAAAAGGAAGGTAAAGTCAACGATATAGAGGTGTAGATATAAGGAACGTAATAGTAAAAGTCCATGAGCAATAGTCCGCAGTCGAAGGCTACACGATACAGCTCTGCTCCAAGCGGAGGCCGATCTCTCGTTGTGCTCCCAGGGGTTCCTGGTGCATCGCCCGAAGTTCCAACGCATCAGCCGAGGTTTCATCATACTTGAACAGAACTGTGGCCCAACTGGATATTATCGGTCCGACGGCCGGTAGAGCCGCCTGAAACCTCTGCTCGGTTTCTATTGTTGTCGGTACGCCTGCGAGAGCAAAGTTTTGCTCACGGAGGTTCAACACAAGACGAGAAACTAGTGTGGTGCAGAGCCTGTACACCCGAAATGAGCCTTGAAGAAAAACACATATTGCCACAAGAGGGATCAACACAAACACGTTCGTCAAGGTTGCAGTAGATTTTTTCAGCAAAGGCTGTTATTTGGCGGAAACGAAGTGCGAAATGAGGCTACAGCAACTGAAATGCGGCACGATGACAAACCGGGGCAAACTAGGTAAGGTAAAGACTTAGATTAAGTAACAAAGCGGGTAGATGCAATGCCGGCGTACCCGAAACATCAAAATATTTCCTAGATTCATGATAGAGAGTACCCTTTCAGAAATCGTTAATGTCGTCGACAAATTATTAATAAAGAATGGCCTATACGAGAAGTACATGGTCCCTTGGATGGATGATAAGCTTCGGTGCGGCTCGGGGATGGTTATTTGGTTCAACGCACCATCTCGGATAATCACATCCAATAAACGCCCACCCCTGCCAATCGTAAATGCCCTGCACAGAGTGAGTGAAAACACGGCAATGTCAAAAATGAGCACGCCCGTCCATGCCAAGGCACCATCTGTGCCATCGAGTTATTGGGGCCGCAGAGACTGCTACCTGGAAACTTACGTAGACCTCTAATTCAAAGGCGATACAGGTTTTATCACGAGTCACCATGCAGATGCGGTCACGTACTCGACTGTTGAGGTCACATAATTACAGCCACGAACACCAGATACGACCACGTCGGTATCGACACTGATGCGACTGCTTGTGACCGACATCAACTTCGCAAATAAGGTGATGATACATAAATGCATTATCGAAGGTCTGGGAAAGAAAGACGTACAGATGCGTTAATAACCGACCCAGTGCCAACTACCAAGAGAAAACCCAGGACGGGGATACTTCTGCCGTACAATGCGTAGACGCGAGTTAGGCAGAGGGCTCCATGAGGATGATTACTAGTCAAGGTTGTGAAACGAGTGAAATAGCCCGGAACGTACTGCCAACGAGGAGCTGTAAAATGATATTAAAGTTCTCATGCCATCCATGGATTTTCTGACAGCTACGATTCGGTGAGTGTCTCCACATAGGGATATCATGACGCCCATCGGGGTAACTTACAACTTTTCTCGGTCAAGACCAGGTACAGATTGAGAACAAAGGACTCACCGAGAATTCCCCTGGGACAAAATATGTCATGACAAGCGGAACGTGTCCGAAAAAAGAGAGGTAGCGATTGAGAAGACAGGCCAACGTAAACCATCCTTGTTTGTTGTGTGGCGGCCATAAGAACTCGATTTCCCGGGGTAAAGTGAGCACATAGTCGTAATACAGTATCACTAATAGCCCAGTATGCAGTGAGCTCGAGTTTGAGGTTGGCATGTTAACGAGTGGCGAGCTCACCTAAGGCTGAGGCATTTAAAATTGAGTTGAGGTACCTAGAATGAGTAATTGAATGAAGGGAAGGAGAAGACTCAAAGCTCAGAGCCGCCTACGCATACTCCCCAAAGCGTGGACCGAGGTTGGAGTCCGCCAAGGACATAGCTGGCACAACTTGAGACTACCTGTATGGAAGAAAGCAGAGTGGAGATTATATGTCACTGACCGAGTATGCTAGTCCGCGGATCCAGTAACCGTAGAATTGAATAAACGCAAATCAAGTAAAGAGACATGTCAACGGGGATATGATGGGATCACAGCAGCCACTTGTTGTCTTGGAGAACCTCAGATGACTTTGGAGCGTTCCAAGGAACGATGAGACGTATGGGAAATCACCACGTTTTGCCCTGAACGATGGGAGAGTCGATGAAAAACAAGCATGGCATTACTTTCCAGCTATCGCGGAAGTTCAGAACGGTAGCAGTATGCTTGGCAGTATGTCATCCTGAGTATAGGGCAGCGAATCTCTTGCCTAGGTCGTTCGTTGCGTGGCACAAGTTGAGGAGAGACGCGGTCGCCAGAGTGGTTGTGACCAGCTGGCGGACGTTTTTGAGGAACTGAAGAATTAGACATCGGTTAGTCGTTAGCCGTGGTCGGCTAATTGAATTTAGCCCGGGTTCGCACGTGCACGTGCTCTGGCCTAATTGAACGTTTGTACTGTAGCCCCTTGTGGTCCTGTGCCCGTTCTATACCACTCATGTCTTTGGCTCGACAGTGGGAAGTTTGGTTGTAACTGTGCCATGGGCGCTCTGACTGGCCAACCTTGAGTCAAGAAACAGTGACGTGAACTCGATTCATTGGGCCCCGCCATCTACTTGATACATACCCGAACCATATCAAGACTCCCGCGGCCGTGCTACATCATTGGATAAACAGGATGCCAAGGGTTCACTCACCACTAGGAGGAGGATAGCCAGAAAACTGAAACCCGTGTTGTCCGATCGCCAGGAATAGCAAACGCTCTCGAGCGCTCACATGGAAGCTTTTGATGGAACGTATCGTGTCAAGGTAACGTGGGGAAATATCATGATAAGTCCAGATATGCGTTGAAGAGCGCGGGAAATATCCTCAACTTAGAGGCTGCGGCTAATCTGGGCCAAGGCCTAGAACTTTCAAACACAACGGAATTCTACGGAATTGTTACTAGTATCCCCAAGTATCACGCAAGGGTGTGCACAGGTAGGGCCGTACAGTTCAGATATCAGCGGACGTTCTGGAACTTCTGGGCAGCTTCTTGGCGTTTACCTAGGCGTGTCAAACATGTCCTAGCTGATACAGTACCCGGGTCAACCGAGTAACGAACGACATGTCAAGGCAACCATAGTTACACTCCGAGGCCTATGTGATACTAGTAACTTATGCCGAGTGGGTAATTGAAATCAGGATAGTCTCGTCCCTCTTCTAGTGATTGAGGTTCAATTCCCTACGGCTCATCGGCACTCGGACTGGTGACTGTCCGGATGTATTCCCAGTGTTATTTACACACACACACACTTGAATCACCCTATCCTGTAACTGTATCACCCCCATCACACAGAGTTCTGTCAGAAGGGGCTATTTCCATCTGTTTGATCGATGTGACGTTGAGCTCTGAGATATGAGACGCGAGAATCACCTACTTCTCGCTCAAGCTCTCGCTGTCCGACTGAGGTCCTATCAAAGCTGCTAGATGGAACACTTATATGACCCCATTTAGTCTCCACTTTACCCGGGCCGTTAATGCACCGCAAGGAAGCACGCCGCTCCCCATTCTAATAATGACAAAAACCTCTCCTTCCGACTGGAATTGAACCAGAAACCTTGGGATATCACAGATTTTCTGTTTCATAATTTCATGCTCTTCCAGCTGAGCTGCTACCGAAAGTTAACTGCTGTATGTTTCGCACGTGACTCACGGCGTAACTGAAGACCGTCGTCGACTCGGATGAGCTGAGCTGTCCCGATCTCCCTCGGAGTCGCCCCCACCAATACAATTGTCTATCAAAACAGATCGGGTGCAACAACGCCAGCCGAGGTTGCACAGAATAACCCTAGCTATGTGCGAATCACGAGGTTCGATCTCATCTTAATGTGAGAAAAAATAAACAAGAGACAACGAGAAATTGAACACCGAAGCTCGTCGAAACGCGTCGAAGAAATGCGTAGATTTTCGTATAGTACAATATAAGCTCGAAGTAATAACATAATACCGAGACACTGGCCGTTCGGGGTCATTGCGCGCAGTTGCGCTTGTTTTGTATCGAGAAGGAGAAGTCGGGCTGCGTCATTGATGACGTTGTTGCCTGTTTTTCGTCGTAAACGACTTTAGAGATGCCAGAACTAAGATCAAGTCAAGTAGAACAAGAAACTTCGGATAGATCGAGTAAAACAAGAAAACAGAAGCGGATCATCAGCGTTCGGGAGTGTGCTCATATGAGATGTGAGGATGAGCTTCACTGACGTTCTGACACAGCAACTGAGGCAGGTCGGAGACGCGGCCCCTGTCTCACTGTCACACCGCATCCTAGGAGGGGCACGGGGTAATGCGTTGATGAAGAGCTGGGAAGCGGAGGCGGTGGGAGAGACTCAGGATTCTGGGTCACCAGCGTCCTAGGAGCTCGATTGATGCCACACACCACATATGACTCCTTGATCGGGCATGACCTGGGCCCAACAACCTTCAAGGTTCTCCGACGCTGTCTAACAGAGGTGTATGTTGGCACGGGCGGAAGGGTACTGTCCGGGCGCTGTGTATCAAAAGTGTCCGTGAGCATCGTATGCGTTGGCGCTGAGGGGGACTCACGTATCGAGTAATCAGGCGTGTTTATACAAATTGCACTAACAAAGTATTATCTCCTGTCACAAATTCTTAGTTTATAAATCATGGTGGATGTAGCTTGGTAGTGCCGTCTCGATGCCAAAGTCATTCAGTTGCCCCCGAACACGCATGATAGCTCCTTTGAAGAGCAAGCACAATGCAATATACAATAACCCTGGAACGCCGATCCAGGGCACTGCCCGCTTCCTCTGAACTTGAAGCATGGGGACTGATCGGACACTAGGAACTGGACAAAAAGAGATGTATGCGCTCCTTCCAGTACACAGCAGAGACTTCAACTTCCGCAGACTGAGGGGCATCTCGGATGTCAGCAGGTAAGAATGCAACAATGTCTCATCCACTCCAAGCGAAATCTGAGCCGACAACGCCGGCATTTTTAGTTCGCAACTGGGGTGAAATCCAATATCAAACCACGTGAACATTTGGAAGGCTCCGAGATCGAACAATCCCCAGTTGACTCGGAGGAGTGAACGGGCAACTCGGAAGACCTGAAGAAAGAGAAAATGTTATGTAAACTTTTGATGCCCAGACAATACACAGCCAAAACGTACGAGAATGACTTACGGGGACCTCTTCGATAGCATTCGGGGCAGCCTGCGACGGTCGAATATCGCCTGCACTTGACCTTGCAAACAAGGTAACTAGGGAAATACCGACGTTGGCATCGGCGACCTTGCTTGCCTGCGATCTTACTCTATCCGCTTCCCACCGTCATATAATGCACCTCTCACCTCGCATCTGTAGCAGTTGTACCAGTGTGGCAGTGAGCGGTACGTGAGTCTCACTCTCCACCGTTCCTTGTATTTGTCCGAGATAAAAGAGGTTGAGGTGTGGCAACATCCATAGATTGTCCCACGTGAACATTCAAAGGTTCTGAGATAAAACAAATATAAGGGTCATTGCAAAATGAGGAGTGTACTCGGAAAACATCAAACGGGCAAGTCGGGAAATCGGAAAAATGTTACGTAACCTTATTAATAAGGTTCCTGCAAGGCGCGGCGGCGAATATAACCTGCCATAGACCTTGCAAGCAAAGTAACCTTAGAAACAGAAACAAGCCTGAGCTGCAAGTGGTTGATCCGCAGGATAGAAATCGCGTCCGAGTCTTACTAACGATCACATCTCTATTGAAAGCCGAGCGGGTTCGAGTTCAACTTGACGTTGAGCAGTCTGAGGACTCAGACTCTGAGTCTCAATGTTCTCAACTATTGTCTCTGACTGCCGCCAGCACTTGAGGATGCGCCGAAGACGCACAAACTTCGTGTATATAAGGACTGGTTTGATCCACAGTGGATTTCATTCATTCAGTGTCCAACAGTATCCAACTTGCAGAACATTATGCGTCTTGCGTCTTTCGTGCCTTACCTGTTCTTGCTCAGCGTGCTCGGCGTCTCTGCGGCACCAGTACGTTCTTTTTTACACTCCGATTAAGCACATGGGACTGTTCAATTCTAACGCGATCCACAGGCCTTTGATAACGGCGATCTGGTGGTAAGGAATTTGCCAAGTTGTTAGTTGACACGAGTTTTTCATATAACATCTCGAAATTGCAGGCCGGCCGTTTTTTCGGTGGAGACAACGCTGGCCCTGACTGGAAGCGTGCCATGGAAAACGACGGTCAACTCCTCTGACGCAGCGACCTTCAGTTGTTGACAAAGGATTTGCTCATATGGTGAGCATTAATTTGAATGTGCGGCAGACTGCCAGTGCATGCCGCGGGCCCCACTGCACCAGTTTCATTCAAGAACAACTGACTGACATCGTCACCATCACTTTGACAGTTTGTTTCCCAGTTCAAGTTTCTCTCAGCAGCAGTGTTGGCATCACGTTTTCTGTCATGGAAGTTGATAACATGAACTGTATATCATACTTGGTTGTGTATTCCAGTTTGCCCTTGCCTTCACTGCTGCTTTATCTTCTCATTTTAACGACTGTAGCTGTCGACTAGTGTACGAGTGACAAAAGAGGAAGAATAAACCGTTTTCGTTACAATTTTTGCGGAAGGAATGCAAAGAGAAACTTCTTGAATCGAATACTAGTACATCCATTTACTAATTTACGAACAATTGACATCCGTCCTCAACGTGAATCTATGATGGTGAGTTTGGTGACTGTTCCCTCATGGATTTCAGACTTTCTAGAGCCGGAGTTCATGTTAATTTCCAGTAGACCAATGCATAAAGCAGAAGCAAATACCTTCAGTTCAAGTGGCTCACCGGGCCCCTGCTAGGCTGCTAGTGCCAGTGAAACTGACGACGGCCACATCACCACCCGGTGCGGGGCGATCATGATGTACCACCGAAAATCGGGCATCCCTAACTGCGCCGGCTGTACTTCGCATACAGTAACTCTTCGCACATAGGATATGTTACGATGCATCCAGAGTCCTAGTCAGACTTTGGTGATTCTGTCAAGACGTGATCTCGATTCCACGGAGCGCGTTTACTATTAGCAGCCGGACCACAGGCTATACAAGTCACGCGCTCATACATACTGTATCATGATATTCTCACCCTAGACACCTAGATAGACGACAAACTCAGAATTAATATTCCCGGGCCTGGCCCGGCCCGGCCCGAACCAAAAAAAAAGTTGGGTCGCCATTCACTCTACATATATAGGCTATCTAACTGTCACCTTGCGTCCACTCATGTCCATTTATGACTTGGAAGCTGTGCTGCAATAGACTGTGCAACGCAAACCAAGGCGAGCAACACGACGTAAGTGAGTTTCCCATCCAAGATGTTATTTATCAAGGAAAACGCAAAGAGCCAATCCGCAGCCGCCGGTCCGAAAGAACGATAGACCGAGCCCAGTGTTTGTGCAAGGCCATTTGTTGTGCCCAGCGAGCGCTGGTTGGGTGCGGCAGAACGTATAAACATGTACGCGGCACCTGACAATTGTCGGCACGGATACCCATAAAAAAAATTCCGAAAAGTAACTCACTGTATCCCATTTCTGAGACTGCTAATGACCAGAGTTGCAGGAAGATCAGCAGCCATAAGGTCATACTCGAGCCATCACCGACGGCGTAACGCAACGCCAAATTCTCGAAGGGGAACATAGAATAGACCACGGCGTATGCCGCAATGCTGGCGACCAAGACCCATCGCGGGCCAAAGCGTCCAACAAGGCGCGGAAAGAAGATGAATTGGAAGATTCCGCTCATAAACCCATACACGGAGATACACAGGCCAATCGACGCCGGACTGAAGTTGAGCCCGCCATACTCGACCGACGTCGACCAGATTAGAGGAATAAGCGATAGCGCTACTATTTCAAGGAGCGCCAGTGTGGCATAGTTGAGAACGGAAATCGCGACTGCCCTTGTGAGCACGGCTCGCAGCGGCAGCGGCTTTTGTTCGTCTTTTAGTGAAGCGCCCAGGCTATCCCTCAATTCCTCTGGCAGTACGTTCATGTTGGTCCTTTCAAACTGGTGCTTCATCGGAGAGGCGAAGTTCACTGTCTGCGTCTCCTATTATTTCACTGTGTCCTTGGAAGAGGTGGGAAACGAACCTCTTCCAAGTACATCGCAACGACAATGAACGATAAGGTTGCACAAATAGCGGCTGCCAGGCATGGTAAGAAGTATGGATATGTGGCCCAGAAAGGATTGGAGAAGAGATGTGGCCAATTATCTTGTGGCCGCGCCAATACGCCACCAATGAATGGACTTTTTTGATCCGTGGAATCAACCGGTGTATGGGAAGGTGGAAAGAAAAGCTCCTACCCAATCGCACGGCCAACATTCCACGTCATTGGCAACAACGAGAATCCTAGCGCGACATTACTATCATCTGTGATCTCCCCCATCACACTTTTCACGACACCGATGTCTCCCTTTAGGGCGCCATGCAGGCAACGGCTGGGGTCATCAATTCAGCGAATGAGACCCGCGAATTTCCTGCAAGGGGCACCTAACAACTATTGCCCAAAAAGAACGAGAGAAGCCAAACGAGATGATTGAAATGATTGAACCCGCGAGACACGATAAAAGAACAGGCTTGCGTCCGACATAGTCGGAAAGTCGGTTCCAAAGGAACGCG